AGTCAACCACAACCAAAAATGCATGCCAGAGGAAGATCTAAAAGTACCTTGTATATGTTGCATTGACAGTAATGGCTTTGGTGATACAAATGAAAGGAATTAACAGCACTTAGTAGACAGTATTCCAGATATTTTAAGGTGTAAGTCTTTTCCCTTCTCTTTAGAAATGAAGTTATAAATGATTAATAAGCAAGCACAATATTCTAATTACTTAACATGTGTGATCTCACTTAAACCTTTTAGCAGCAATCTATGGAAATTGATATCATTATCCTCAATTTAAATATGAGATGTCTTAAATGCAAAAAGATTCTATAGAATGTCCAAGGTCATACTTGGTGACATGCAAGCTCCCTCTGTAGAGAATGTGATCCTTTCCTCAAGGAATTATTCACTCTAATAGAGCTGTAGCAACAATTTAATTGTGGTTGCCATCTTAACCTTTGCAAAAGTCTTTATTGCTAGGTGGTATTTATTCATTTCCAGAAAGTATAATTATTTAGAAAAAGTCTGCCAAAAATATAGGCGATACTAGATTAAAAGTACTTAGTTAAAAGCATCAGGAATGTGGCCCTCCCTGATGGCGCAGCAGGTTAAAGCACTGCACTGAGAAGCTTAAGCCACTTCCGCATGAGTTCGATCCCCACCTGCCCCAGAGGTGACCACATGGCGTGGCAGACCTCTCCTGACCGCCCGCTGCTCCCCTCAGCAGTGTACTTCGTCGATCTGCCTGTTCTGCTCCCTGCTCTGTCTCTGGTGAATCCTCTCACCCTCGGCATCTCTGGCCTGCATCCCAGTTCTGTACGAATAAATAAATAAATCTTTAAAAACAAAAAAAAGCATCAGGATCAGGAATGTATACAAATTGTGAATTGACCATATATTTTCTACTACACTGATCTGAGCAATCTAATTTATTTCTCTTTACATTTGAAGTATTTTCCATTTGACCTAGAAGTAAACTGATCAACATTTTATTCATTTTCTCAAGATTTCAGTTGTTAATGACAACCTTGAATTGCAAGGTTAAACAAATGCTCAATTTAACTTTAGTGGCTTACAGTTTTGAGCCTTGACTTCATGTTCATTAGTGATTGCAGAGTTGTGAAGAATCCAAACAGCAGAATTCACTGCTGGGACTCCATTAGTTTATCCCTTTCTGAACAACTTTTGCTTTGATTTATTGGCCCTGGGTAGCTGTCCACAGAGCTAATATGAATTTGGAAACTGTTATTCAAGGTGCCAGTTTTGGTTCCTGATTCCTGTTGATTTTTCCTTCAGTGACTAGCTTCCTCACTTCATCCCCAAGATTATCGATGGAGTTTTCTAGTCTTCATTTCAAACATTCCAATAACCAAAACATGTAGACCTTCTCGACCATCTTCTTAGAGCATTTGAACGCCTTTATTTCTGTGACTTTTTCTTTTCAAGTTTTAAAACTCAACTCTAAATTTCAGTAAATATATTTTATTTTATTCAGCACTTCCCTGTATTTGAAGTAGAAGAAATAATTTCCCACTCAGTCAGCCATTTTGTCTCAAAGTCCCATTGCAATTTATTCTAAGGAAGTTTAGAGGAAAACAAATAAACACAAACTGGAAGGGTTGAGAGAGTTAAATATAGTCCCATTTTAAACATCCCATTTCCCATCAGCCCTCTGGTAATTTGACTGACCTCTTTCTGCATTTTTTATATGATCCTGTTATTTCTATTTTCGGTAGAGGTGAAAAATTCATGCGATTATTCTAAAAATAAGATGAGTCTTTGCAAGGTTGCTCAGGCTGATTTTGAAACTGCCCAATCAATGTATGTACTTTTTTAATGATTTTGTCCCTTTTTTTCCTATAATAATTCTTCAATTTTTCTTGATCATTTTATATACTTAGGCTCTACTTTTTGTATTTAAAAATATATTAGATTTTGATTTTATTTTAGAATGCTATTCTTATGCTAAATTCAAACGTGAATAACATTAGTATAAAATGAAAAATAGAAAAATTAAATATATTCATAACCCCAACACAATTTATATATTTAATTTTCTTTCCCTTCAAAGTAGATCTGTATCTTGGAAAATATACTTATCACATCACATATGTAACTATTTATAGACTTTCTGAATTTTTCACAGTAAGGTAATTACTTCCTACTGTTTTCATAGTTATTTGTTTACTTTTATTAGCTGTATGTCATTTTTTAGGTAGAAACACCTTAATTTAAGTTTTAGTAATGTTTTTGTTTCTTTACTTGTTTGCTGGTTAGTTTTATTTTCCCTAGTTTTCAGTAGCAAATTTCAAAGTATTTTAAGCAAAATAATTACACTACCCTGTTACCTTACATTTCCCAAAGGCTAGAGATATATTTTAAAAGGTTAAAAGACAGTGAGGAATAAAATTTTAAATATATAAAGCACATATTCCCAGAGAAGAAAAACAAGTGAAATAATCTAAATTGTCTAAGGAAAAAACAAACTAAAATAAGTGACCCTACAGGGACATGGATCATCCTTGCAATCGAACAAATTAATATATCTACAGTACTGTGCATGGATATTCATACCAAGTGGGAGATAAATAAAGGTTATAAATAGCCTGGTATCAGTTCATGTCAATGAGCTTGCCACAAATTTACAAAAAATTCTGATGTCAGATCTTGGGGGGGGGGTGTTAGAATTTAATTGTGAATGGAACCTATATTAAATAAGTAAGTCTTAGCAAAACTTTTCTGGCATAGAAACAAAAACAAAAAGGAGACCAATTAAGAAGATTCTGGCAATGTCCAGAATGTGGGTAAACAACGGGGCAGGACACCAACATGCAGATACCCTTTGGTCCGGCTCCAGCCCAGCTGGGGTAGGATTAGGTGAGCCCCAGAGATGGGACTGAGCACTGTAGGTGAAAACATCCCACCAGGATTGAGACAGAGATTGCATTGGGAGCTTGGAAACAGGAAGATAAACAGGGTGTCCAAAGTGGACCAGCTCATGACTGGTCCATGAGTTGCGGAGAGGCAGGATCTTGAGCTCCACCCAGATCTCCTGAGTTGGAATCAAAGTCAAGATCCCAGATGATTTGTGTGTGCCTTAACATTTGAGGAGCACCAAAAGAAATTCCCTAATATTTTAAGGACACATTTTTGGAAAGGTTGTAAGAGGGGGAAAAAAGGCTTTAGTTTTGCAAACCATTTTGATGATTATGTTGCCATGCAATAAGCAAAGAAAGTTTTATATAAAATTTTGTATTTCCATTGGATTCAACATGGCAAAGCTTTCCAGCAGGCAGCATCTCTACCCTTTATCCTGCTTTTGAGGGAAAAATCATAGATCTAGTTGTTTGATTTTTAAGGTCTCCACATAAGCCTGTACTTGAATAAAGGGTCCTGTGACTTTTCGATATCTGAAAATTCCCCACAAAATTAAATACATACATTAAAAGACAATTTCAAAGGTAGTATAAATAGGTTACAACACAAATAAAAATTAGAATGAGAAAAGTAATTAAAGTGATTTTAAGAGTCAAAATGCAAGTTAAAATAGGCTAGTTGAACTCACTTGACATGTAAAAATACATTAAACAACTCTTTAGAACCACTCGGCAGAAGCTTGCAAGCCCCTGAGTACCTATTCCTAGCTACTCTGTCTATGCTGGTTTATTTCTTCTTTTTTAAAGATTGATTTATTTATGCATACAAGAACTTAGGTGTAGGCCAGAGGCAGGGGGTGTGAGGATTCACCAGAGACAGAGTAGGGGCAGGTGGATTGACTGAAATAGACTGCTGAGTAGAGCAGCAGGCGAGACAGGAGAGGTCTGCTATGCCATGTGGGTCAGCTCCCTGGCCGGGGATAAAACTCCCTGACTGCAGTTGTGCAGCCACAACTGCAATGGCTGCTGATAGCTTCATAGTGCTAAGACTTAACCTCCTGCACCACCAGGGAGGCCCAACACTGGTTAACTTCTGCACTCTCCCCAGCCCTATCCATGACTGCTGTTGGCTTCCCAACTATCAAAAGCTTCCAACCCTTATTTTAAGAACTTTAGCTCATTGTAAATTCTTCCTATATTTTTTTTCCCCAAAAGACTCAGCTGTGTGCCTACTGCACATCCATGTGCTTTCATATATTATTATTTTTTATGTTATTGGAGGTCTTTAGCCTTCTTATGCAACACATAACCTGAACTTAACTTTCAGCTATGGAGAAATGACATACTTACTTGTAAACTGTCTTATAGCTTCTTTATAGGTGTGTGACATTTAAATTAACTTACTTCTCCCCAGTCTTTGTATATCTCTTTCAAACAGTTCCTACCTTAAAGTTGTACAACCTAAATGACCTAAAATTCTTCTTTTTTGATGTCTCCCAGTTGCAGACAGAGTTGGAGCAAGAATATCAAGACAAGTTCAAAAGGCTGCCCCTGGAAATTTTGGAGTTTGTGCAGGAAGCCATGAAAGGGAAGATCAGTGAAGACAGCAACCACAGTTCTGCCCCTCCACCCCTGGCTCCAGACCAAGGGAAACTGAATCACAAATCCCTCTCGAATGAGTTGCTGGAAGGAGATAACCCAGGAAAAGAGTTTGATACTCCTCTGTGATGGTTCCTGCCAGGCCTTCAGGATCTGCATGGCGACTCAGCTCCGTCAGACTCTCTTGTTACAAAAATCACCACCCAGAAGCATCTTCCTGAGAAGCATCCCTACTCTATAATCCATAAAAAAGGGAGATTCCAGAAGCATCCATGCAGACGTCCCCAGGCCCAGGCTCCAGGTGTTACGTGAAAACTACTGCAGGTCTACTAGTAGAGAGTGCATGTACGTGGGATTTTTATTTTCTTTCCATGTAAATTCAAAGCAGGAAACTTCCAGGCTCTATGGAACATTTAATGAAGGACTGTCTTTTTTGAAGAATATCAAGCTCATGTTTGTATTTGAAGCTCTGGTGTAAAGTATTTCATTGTAATAGAAATAGGTTGAGAATTGCGTAGCACTATTTAACACTATTGAACAACCAACTTTGAACATTTCTTTCCTAACTGCCCCTCAACTAATATATCTTCACATTAACATGTATATTAAATTGTTTCATCCTTTGCTTTGCAAGCACTGGTGGCTTGCAGTTTGCTAATTTATTTATCATAGAGGCATCAGTGTATTTGTTGCTGACACAGTTTTATCAGATGCCATAGTGATTCAAAATAAGCTGCTTTTATTTTTTGGAAAAAAAAATATATATAACTTGATTGTATTCTTGCCCAGTGAAGCTACCCCAAGACTTGGCAACCCAGTGGCTTGTACATTTTGGCTGCATGAGCGAGTTAACCACACGCTTTCAGGCAGTGTGCTGAGTTGACTATTCCACTCGAAGTCTGGGTATCTGTTGGTCGCGGCCTGAAATGATTTCAGTAGCTGCAAAGAGTCTGTTTGAGTAAATACAGTTGGGCTGATGTATGGTAAATAGAGATTCAATCAGAATGATGCAGGTTCTAATGGTTATTTTGCTGTCTGACATTTTTTATGGTTCATTTATTTTGACTATAGAAATAAATAATGAATATTTATAAAGAATACACAGACCCATATATAAATGATATATATTATTTCCATGTATATATGTATACACTCAACCATGTACTTGCACACAGACATTCATATAAGTGTCCATGTGTGTTTTCTAATTGGCAGTGACACAGATCTCCACCACTGCAAGACTTAAAGCCTAATTTGGGGGTAAATGGATAGAGAAAAAAATGATAATCAAATAACTAGGTTACATGGATATTACACTGTATTGAGTTATGTTATATTGAATTGTGAGCTAGGTCAATAGCTCACAAATGATGGCGCTATTGATGCAAATTAAGGTAGATTTAGAAATTAGAATATGGATTTGATACATATTTTGCCAAATCAAAAACTTGATCTTAAGCATAGTCTTTTAATCTTCATTTAATAGTCAAAATAGACAAAATGGTGTAGGACAGCAATAGGAAAATATGTTAGTATCTTCCATGATTTTTTGTTATTCTAACAAAAAACCTTTCATTATATATCTACTATGTATATTTAATTCATTAAGTGTGTCTTTTTGTTAAATTCCTTTTAAATGACTTAAGAGAAACAGATTATATGGTGGTATAACTGATCAAAATTATTATTGAAAGGTATTAAATAAGAGAGAATAATTATATAGAGGAAATATAATATAGAGAGTAACACAACGAACATTGAGGTTAAAGCCCTGAAGCAAGATGCTTACAGCTTTATTTTACTTTAAAATAAACCTGTCTGATTATAGCTTAGGAAACATTTAAAACACAAAAACTATTTGTGTCCTGAAAATTGTATTTGAAGAATTTAATATTTTTATGGAATTATTTTATTTAACTTTAAGCAATAACTAGAGATCACAATTAAGTTTTAATCGAAGGTTTTAATGAAGGTTTAGTTCGAATATTAGAAGTGTTTGATCAAAAAGAAAACACATCTCGTGAGACACAAGGGGGAAAATTTATCCCCTTTGGAGATGATTATATTTTGATCTGAAAGATTTGGGGTATTAATTAGATACTTAATAAAACTTCATTGAGAGAGAAATCTTTTATAAATCATTCTACTTTTGCACTTTGAAAGAAAGGCATTGAACACAAGGAAGCAAGAATGGTCAAAATTGAATGCTGCATTTTTGTAATAAAATTAGAGACAGTTTAAAGTGGCAGAAGAATGAAAGAATAATAGCATTCACAGCCAAACACGGTGGTGATTACTACAGAACACTATCGCATTTTAGTGCAGAAATAGACTAATGTTGAGTTACCTTGACTTACACAAAACTGTTTTAGTAGTTGAATTTCATGATCTTAGTGATTAGTCATTTTACAGTACGTTTGTATTTGGCCATTTACTGTAACCACATTTTTATATCTGTACAATGACACTTTTTGCAGTTGTGGGGTAGTGCGTAACACTGTCCATCTTGCATCATTGAACTACTACAGTGATCTATCATTTACTAATATTAATATTACTTGAAATAGACTAAGATAAAGGGAAAGGGTCTATATGGTGTGCAGTTTTTGTGCCTTTATGTATTTGCCTTGTTCTTTGTTGAATGCGTGAAATTCTGTGCTGTGGTTTTCCTATAATAGAGAGTAGAGCTGTGTACTAAATTAGACTGTACCCCTATGAAACCTTTACACTACTGAGAATAGTGTGGTTTTGGCCGTGTAAACCAATTTTTCCAAGTTCTAATGACATGCCATGTGTTTGGGTTTTTAAATTTTCATTTTAACATTTCAGTATCGCCATACATTAAGTAATACTCCTGTACTAGATAAGCAGTTATTCAATAACTCCAAAAGAAAGGGCCATTGCTTGCATTACTTTGAATTTAATGTCACGCTTGTGCTCTGTATAAATATTGTTTGTGATGGATTGGACATTGTGACTTTTGTCTTTTCAGAAGAAAAATGAAGATAGGGCAGAGAATAGGAAGCTCTCAAAATGTACAGATTTTGGTTCTCCTATCCCAGATTATTTAAGATGCATAATTCACATTTTTGTAATAATTCTATGCAATTTTGTGGCATGATGTTTCCTCCACTTGTAATTTTATGTGCTTTCACCACAGATCCAAAGGAAACAATAAAAATTTCTTAACACAGTCAAGCTGTTATTTCTTGGTTTCAAAGCCAGCCTTCTTTTGATGAGTAGGAGGGCAGGAGTGGGCATAACGTCAGTCTCTAGGGAGGTAATACCCCCTGACAGTGCACATCTTCCACCCCCTTCCAAGAGTTGTTACACTTGATCATCACTTCCGTGTTTGCGATCCCCCTCTTTCTCTTCCCTTCCCTCACCATCCTCATTTGACTAAAGCTAAGGAAAGCAAATGCTCAAAGCTTTTCTGACAAGCAGTAAAAATGATTTAAATAATTTTAAGTCTTATCAAATATTTTTAAAAGTCAGCAACATCATTTTTTTAAAGTATAACATTATTGAGTTTATACTGTCAACACATTTAATATATCAATAAGAAATGTACCAAATAACAGAAAAATGAAAATCTTGCACTTTCACTATCAATAAACCTAAAGGCCCATCCTGATTTCTGTAAGGCTAAATAAACATAAGCATGTATCGTAGGATCACTGAAATACAATTTCCTTTCTCTTTGTTATTTGTAAAGAAAATCTCTTTTATAAGACTCTAAGGAAGTACATGCATTTATTGCAAACTGATAGAAAGTCTAATCTCCAGAGAGCATTAGTCAAAGACCAGAAAAATAGTTGAAAAGGACAAACACTTTGTATTGAGATCTTTTTAAAATGTGCCAAAATAGGATTTGACTCATAGCAAGCTACAAAGTCTCCTCAAGTTGTTTTTCCCATCACTTTCTCATTCTGTTAGTGACTGTTGCAGATCAAGGAACCGTCCCCCCAATTTCCCCCAAACTCCAGCCCATGTGGGCTCTTGTCTGCTGTCCCCCTGCCTTCATCTCTGAGTTCATTCTATTTTCTTTCACCATGTCTAATCTTTTCAGTAACCCTTTAACCTTTCCAATATAAAATGTTCTATTCTTCCTGAATGTTCTAGTGTTGCTTAATTAAGCCTCCAAAAGGCTCACAAGCAGCAGGCAAAATTAAAATTACTATTACATTGGGAGAGGCTATAAATACTCCCACATCAACGTATTTCCAGTAATACATTCTGTCAACATATTTAATAAGCATCTACTCTGTTCTAGGTACCAGTTCCACTCGACTCAGTTGGTTTAGAAGTACAGATAAGGAAGTAAATCTTCAAGGCTGTCCAATCAAAGTGACTCCTATAGCACCAATTTTTTTTTCTAAGAGTTATTTATGCATACAGAACTGGTACAGGCCAGAGGTGCAGGGGCAGTGAGAGAATCCACCAGAGACAGAGTGGGGAGCAGAACAGGCACATGAATGAAGTACACTGCTGAAGGGAGCAGCGGGTGGGCCGGGAGAGGTCTGCTGTGCCATGTGGGTCACCTCCAGGGCGGGGATCAAACTCATGCCAAAGTGGCTTCTACTTCTTAGAGCTGTGCTTTAGTCCACTGTGCCACCAGGGAGGGCTCCAACAAGATCATATTTAAAGGAAAGATCTGCTTTGTTTTTATCCTAGCAGCCCTAAGTTTCTGCACTGTACACACATCCAGTCTGGGATGAGGGTCTTTCACACCTTTTTATCCTGCAAGAGTTGCTTCCCTAAATCACTCCTCACTCACCTGCTGGTACTAAAATTGAGCTTGGGGGCATTTGAACAAGGAATTCTAGAGTGCCATGGCTGATGGTCTAAAAAGGGTTTGTGTCCTTCAGATCAGAGGGTGCCCTAGCCTTAGCAAACGTCTCTATGGCAGAAGCAGAGCCCGAAAAAAGGACAAGGTGTGGTCACTTACAGCATGGGGCCCTAGACAATGACATAGCCTCACTGAATCTAGGGCAGCGCTGCTTTCAAACACATGCAGCTAGGAAATTTTTCAATATCAAATAATATATATTTTTTCTAAAACAGTTCCCTATCTTCATTCCAAAAGCTAAGACTCTCTGTGTTTCATGTATCAAGGAAGGGGGGGGGGCAGTAGGGTGAAAAGCTAGAAGTCTTTGGATATCTTCTTGTGGTGTTTGCATTTAAGGACCTGTACACACATTCGAAAAGAAAGGATTCCGGTTTTGGACAAAATTACTTAGGAGTTCTCATGAGACAAAGTAGCTTTGCTTGAGCTGAAAGAAACAGATGTAAAGGATGGGTGAGTCTCAGAGGGTTACTGACAGAGGACTTTTGCCATCTCGTGCAGATAGAGCGCCAAAGAATTAACAAGACCCCACAGGGAGCACAGTGCAACTTATAAAATTGCTGTTAGATAACTTCATGAAATTCTACCCTAGATTGATATGGAAACAAAAGAAAAATTCCAAAAATCCCAAAGATGAGATTCTTTTATTTAAATAGACTCTCAGACTTTCAGGTGGTTGTTTTGTTTTGTTTTGTTTTGTTTTGTTTTTCCTGTCTTGTCTAATGGGCCTATTAAAATTGAAGTTCGAATTCACCAGAAAAAGTAATTTTTCTCAGGATAAACTTGAATCTTTACTTCTTTGGGTGCCAGTTTCCTTTAGACTTGTGGCCGGGTAGTTATTTGCTGTCTTTTCATCTCTTCATTACCTTGAGAAACTACTTAGATTTCCATTTTACATAGCAGTTATTCAATTTTTATTGGGCGTATTTTGAAATTTTAAACTGTGTCCTGAAGAACACCTTTGATCTTGCCTAGACCAGGTCTTACATTTGAATAATATGAAAATAATTTACTCTCAATCGTGTAAAGAAATAGCTAATCAAAGACAAAAGTTCAGCACCCCATTTATTTTGGGGGGATACTATATAGTCTCACATGTCTCAGCTGAAATAGTAATTCGATAGGGAAACATCAAATCAAGTTGGCCAGAAGTCTTCCTATAATCTAAAGACCTTCAGTTTGTCAAATATATGTGAGATATCCTTGCAAGCTAAATTTAGCATTTGGAGCTCCAGTTTCTCTCTGAGATGTGTAAAAACTCATCTATCTTGACAGTTCCCTGTTGGCTACACCTCTGAGAAGTCAATTATTCTCACCAAAGCCAATTTTAATTTATGCATGCTAAATTACTCCTGAATTTCTTATATGATTTTTAATAGCAGGTGTAATATCAAATTTAAAGACTAATGGATTTCAGGAAAGAGATATAAAATCGGACCCTGAGTCACCAGATTGCCTCAGGAAACAGATGTGTTGTCATATTTTTCACTAAGAATAAGTACAAGATCAATTTTTATTCTTGATGATATCCTAGGGCTTATAGAGCACTGGGCCAGAAACAATGGATGAATCAATAAAGCCTGTATAAATTAATTAACCTGCAGTAGGTTGAAAAAATGGCACCAATTGTTCATCACCACAATATAGTTTTAGAATGTGACTTTGTCAAGCCCACCTTCAAAAAGTTTCTTCCTCACCATTGGATTTGGGCTGGCCTTTGACTAGTAGAGTAAGATAATTCTATGACTCTACTGCTCAGACTAGATATCCTTTGGAACCCTGACACCACCATGTCAAGTCTGTGTGAACTTGCTGGAGGATGAGAAATCTCATGAAGAGAATTGACCATATGTTTCTGAGTGAAGCACTAGATGTAAGCCAGCACCCAATCAAGTTTAAATCACCCACAGCAGCTGATCAACCATCAGCTGATCTAAGAAGCCCACATGAACCTAGCTGAGGGAGGGGATCTGATCCAATGTATCAGAATACACAATGAACCAACAAAATTGTCAGCATTAATAAATGATTTTGGGGAATTGTCAGTAATTGGAAGTGGGTTGATCTGTTAAACAGAAGTAGCAGTCTGATACAAAATCTTTGGACAACTTTCCTTTTATTTTTTCTTATTTATTTTATCTGTTCATGCATACAAAAACTGAGTGTAGGCCGGAGGTGGTGAGAGGATTCACCAGAGACAGAGTGGGGAGCAGAACAGGCAGATGTACTGATATACACTGCTGAGGGGAGCAGTGGGTAAGACAGAAGAGGTCTGCTACACCCTGTGGGTCACCACCCTGACTGGGGATCAAACTCAGACCTCAGTGGCTGGTGATAGCTTGATAACACTGAGATTTTAACACCTGCACCACCAAGGAGGCCCACAATCCTTGCTTTTAGAGGTCAGCTACAAGGTTGAGAATTAGAAGTCATCAGTTCCAGTTCAGTCAACATCATGGACCTGTGGATTTTGCACAAAACACTTTACTCTTGCCACAGATTTGAGAAACTTGTTTTGTTCTAATGTTCTATGTTATGTGGAATTGGCCCCAAAATGTATTACTCTATATTCCTGCCCATCCCAAAATAATGACAAAAGATTATTTTTTTTACTGGGTGAGCATTTATTGAGTCTCCAGGGAATTTTCTTGTATATCAAGTATTGGAAATTATAGAGAAACTGAATGTGTTTTTTACTTGAAGTCATCCCCAAAAGTATATTTTTAGAACAAATCTTAATTGGGAAATTTCTGTGATTATTTGTTTTCTTTTGTTTTTGCCATCCTGTTCTCAAAGAAGAAGTCAAAATGAACAAAATTTATTCAAATAAGCATCCTTGTTAATCAAAGCTTTAGTGAACTTTGTATTTTGCCATCATCCAAAAGATGGACACAAAACAGATTTAACAATGGAACAAAAATGCCATATCCATCTGGTTACTGGAGAGAGATGGAGAAAATTAGCCTTTGCAATCCTAATTCTGAAAATTATAATAGATTCAAATATAAAAATAGACTCAAACACACAGACTTGTGCTTAGGACAGTGATTCTTAATATGTGAGAAGGACAATGCCTGTCCTTCTCATGGACAGGCATGTTTGAAGTTCTGATGGAAACTACTAACCCATGACTCAGAAAAGCATACATATATGCAATTACATAGACATGTAAATATAAAATATACATACATTTTGACATCGACACTGTCTTATACTTTTTACTTTCTCAGCACCTTATAAACACTTTTCTTATGTTTGAAGGTTTTCCCACCCTCCTAACACCAATCCCCAGAGTAGATGCAAGAAATTCACTTCTCATAGTTAACAGCTGTGATCCACACACATGA